ATGTGTGAATGAGCGAAATGCGGAAAGAAATTTCAGCAAACAGCTAGGGCACGATTGCCAGCGATCTTCAGACAAAAATTAGATAGAAAGGTGTCATTAAAGTGTTTAGACGCGAAAAATCGGTGGAATTGATATTTGTAGGAAGTGTGACTTAGAAAGCCCGTAATAAAATCGGTTTGCTCCGTGAAATTTTCCGTTGCTATTTAACTGGACTAGATATCAGGAAAAAGCATCTTAAGAAAAAAAAGGGACACTGTTACATGCCACAGGAGGTGAGTCATAGGCATTTTAAATAAACTTAAAGAAATTGATGTAGAATCCAAACCAACTAAATTGCAAAGTGTGTGTGTATACATTAAAGCGACTGAGTATAAGTATACAAGCGAAGGTAGCCCTTGAAATGCTTGTATTCACAAAATAAAATCAAATAAACTAAAATTTGATAAAATTAAATTAAATAAATCGAGTTAGAAAAATTAAGAGAATGTAAAATAAACTAAAATTCAAACTAAATAAATTCAAATTTAAGTAAAATAAAATAAAATTGAGACTAAATTCTTATAAATTAAACTAAAGTAAGAGTAAATCAAATTAAAGTAAAACTATAATGTGATAAAAGTATCTAAACCACCTAAAATAAACTAGAAGTCACATAAAAACGAATACACATACCAACCGCGCTACAGTGAACATACATACACACCTAATATATAGCATTTTCAGTTTAAATGAAACCATTTTCAAATTAAGCGAAACATTTTTCAAATTAAATGAAACCTTTTTCATGTTAAGCTAAACCTTTCTCAAATTAAAAGAAACCTTTTTCAGATTCAGTGAAACTTTATTCAAATTAAATGAGACCTTTTTCAGATTCAATGAAACTTTATTCAAATTAAATGAAACTTTTTTCAAATTAAATGAAACTTTATTCAAATGAAATGAAACTTCTTTTTTGGATTACTTTGAATTAGCTGTTACGTGTTGCTCTCCCTTACGGTCAAGGCATGTTAAATACAGTGTTGCCGTTTCGGTCCTATTGGACCAAAATTGGTGGTTTCATTTCTTAAAATAAAGCTCTGGTAGGTTGGTTGGTTTGCTGTGATTTTCGAGTGGTTTTGGTAACTAGGCAAATCATATAATTTATTCATTTTATAAAACTTCAAATATCTCTGTTTTCGGGAGTACATGTAAAGGATGATGTGAAAAGGAAAAGAGAAATGGGACATGTCAAAATTATTCTTGAACCGAAGTTGAATGTTGTCGTGATTAGACTGTGCTCTAATCCATAGGGTTTGTTTAAGTTAAAAGAAAATAATTAGACAATTGTTATGCAAATGCCAAAGTTTACATTTCGCTTAAGCGAGTGAGTGAGAAGGGAGAGTATTTGTGTGTGTTTTTACGTAGAAATCAAAAACCAACAGACTTCTACGTATGTAATGCTGTGCGTTGGGTAACAGCTTACACGCGAAGCTCATTTAACAGATTCCTTATGTGACAACTCTCAAGCAATGCCAAATATGCATAACAGAGCCTTTAGTGTTAGCCAGACATGGCGCAAACGGCTATTAATAGGTTAAGTTGATTTCCTGTTCCTTAATTTAAAAATGTTTAATACTTAATTTGAATAAAGTTTCATTTAATTTGAAAAAAGTTTCATTTGGTTTGAATAAAGTTTCATTGAATCTGAAAAAAGTTTCATTTAATTTGAATAAAGTTTCATTGAATCCGAAAAAGGCTTCATTTAAATTGAAAAAGGTTCCGCATCATCTGAAAAAGGTTTCAATTAATTTGAAAAAGGTTTCGCTTTACCTGAAAAAGGTTTCATTTAATTTGAAAAAAGTTTCATTTAAACTGAAAATGCTATAAATGGCATTCATCTATGCATGACATACATATGTATATATACATATATCTAACTATAAGAAATGAGTCAAGTCTAGAGATCCTATAATTATAAAATATATAAATCAAGACAATGTAGTGACGCTAGATATGCCTTACAGGTCCCCGCTGGGCAAGGGTTACGTCAGGGTCTTAGAAATCAAAACCAAAAAAAGCGGCGATACGTCTTTCTCCAGTCACCCAACAACCCATAGGAGTACATACCAGAAAGGTGAACGACCGGAAAAATACATATGTAGCAATACAGGAGTAATAGAGAAAAATTTGGAGACTTGTGGAGTAAATAAAAAAGGAGAAGAAGGGCAAGGAGCACGCTTACATACATACATACATCAGGAGAGCGGACTCAACGCGGGAAGTGCCGTCACTGGAACTCCCACGCGCGCCAGTCACTGTGCTCTCAGCATATACATACATATACATTATTCCCTTGTTCATATTTAAATGCATATATACTTCCACTGTCAGACCCAGGGATGCCGTTTGGATCTAAATAGATCCAATTGGATACATTTTTAGACGAATTTTTGCGGGATACTTATTTTTTCCGGTCAGTATAAATGTGGATACTTTTTTAAAATTTTATATTTCCTATAAAGTTTTTTTCGTTCAAAAATCGATTTTCATTAAAGATGGTAGAAAGCATTACGTTTTCTAAACGTATAAAGAATCGCTACTTAAGCGTGAAATTAAAGCATTTAATTTTTTGTGAACGAAGCAATGAACATATGAAGAGATCTCACCAAAATAGGTATAAGCGCAATTGCTTTAATTAGCTTAAAAGGATGCTTTACGCAAGATCTTAATATACATATCGTCGTTTAAAGTACAAAACCGCGTATCAACAAAATGCAAAACCGCGTATCAAGATAATGCAAAACCGCGTATGTGACGTTGCATAAATTATTTTCTAGAGAGTAAAGACACTTATATTTCAAAATGGTTCTCTTTTTTATAAAGCAATCGCATTTCTGGCTAGTATATTTCAGGACAAATGGATAAGGATTGAGCCAAGAGCTTGTGTGAGCAAATCCAATTTTCGGCAGCAAATGTCAGTTACGCGGTTTTGCAGAATGACGATACGCGGTTTTGTACTTTAAACGACGATATATATAAAGTAAATTATACTCTTTCTGTAGTTATCTCTTTCATATCACATATTTTCATTTGTTAATTTAAAAAGAAAGAAGATTTCAATGTAGTTTAAAAAACTAAATTTGATTTATTTAAGGAAACTTTTATGGATTTTACTGAAAAGACTTTAAATACACTCTAAAAAAATTTTGTTTATTTGCGCATATTGAGAGAAGTAACCAGTTTCCTCTTTTAATGTGTGCAAATTTGCATGCGGTGTAATAAAATTAATCATTGCCTGTTTACTTTTACATAACGAATTTGTCGGAAGAGCAAAATTACACATAAAATGTTTAAAATAAAGTAATGTTTATTATTAGTAGGAAATGTATTTGTAGTTTGAACATTTTTGCAATTTTAAACATTCTGTATATGTGTATTTATGTGTATATCTTAAAGATCTCAAGTTCAAAACAACTGAACAACCTATACGTATATTTATACAGATTCTTGTTGAAAAATAGATACTTTTCAGTAGAAGTTTTACTTGCTCTTTTTAGAGTGTACTTGCTATTTATTATATTTACTTTGCAAAATACTTATGCACAAAAAATGTACTTTATAAATTGAAATTACAAATGTTTGATTTTATGAACATGTATTCCAAGTCCTTAGGATGGGTTAAATTATGTATTTTTCATGAAAATGTTTGGTTTTCTTACAAATTATGAGATGTATATGTAAAAAAAGAAAATTGGATACATTTGGATACATTTTTGGCTTGGTCAGGGATACATTTTCTTGAGACGGCGCGGCAACACTGGTATCGGCACAAAATTGAGCATCGGCATCGGCCTTTTTTCGCCGATTCTTTGCCGATTCTTTGGAATTTCTTTTCAAATGTTCAGGTGAAGCGACAGCCAACATTAAAAAACATTTGCAGACAGCTCAAAAAAATTATTTTTTTATTGTTGAAGGTGTTTCACGTTTTTTCCATACAAAAGTATGTGCGACAATTTTCTTTTATATGGAGAACACTGCCAGCAAAAAAAATTGCCAAAAATTAACAGGATTTTATAGCAGCTTGAAACTTGCACTTCATTATACTAGAATGAATTGGTCTACAAAACTACATACCAAAATTCTGATTAAAACGTTTGAAATTTTGGTGAAAATAAGCAGAACTTTTCTAATTTTTGTGCAAAGTTTGAAATCTGGATTTATATAGTGTTTGTTGTATACCAGCTAGACTTTTATAAAACAATAATAATAAACATTAAATAAAAAAGACAAAATCGGTCAAAATATCGCAATTTTTTTATTTTGTGGACCACTATATGTGTGTACCTACATACCTAGCATATAAGTTCTTATGCATTGAGTGCAAAAGAGTGTATTTTAGTACAAAACGAAATGAAATTTTATGTTCCTAAATATTTTTAGCTTAGCACCATAAAAAGGTGTTTTATGTAATGTACACAAATGTGATATATGTACATATATTTTTACACATACATATGTATGTATGTATATTAGGGCGGGTCGATTTAAAAATCGCTCATTGCTCTGTGAAAATCGTATTCTAGGGATCAAAATAAGAAACGTTTCCGAAGGAACCATACCTCTAAAACGAATTCTGATGTCCCCCAATTTGGGTCGAACTTTTGGGTAGGGGCAAATTTTGAAAAATCCCACTTTGACCCATTTAGAGTGCTCCAATCGAGTCCAAATGTATGACCGACCCCCACTAACTTTGGACGGCCGATGCACCCATGCCAGTGGCACACCCCCTGGAACTCCCCTGGGGGGTTCCCCATACAATCATTTCAAAAAATCACCATTTTTGACCTTTACATGAAAAAATCAGCTAAATGGCTATGTTTTTTCTTTATTTTTATTTATTTATTTATAATATTTATTATTTATTTATAATAATATCTATTTTTTCTCTTAAGAAATTTATTTAGTCAGAACATATGTAAATGAAAAAATTAATTTAAGTGAGTTATAGAAAAGAAACTAAAAAAAATTATTGTTTGAAGTCTTTTTTACTTTCAAGTCTGGGCAATTTCGCATGGCTCTCTAATGTCGTCGCCATAACAGCCTCTACATTTTCCGGTATAACCCGTTTGGAAACGCTAGCTAGCAATTGAACATGTCGTTCCGTTCCTTGTATGTGTGATGGAATTTTTGGATCATTAAACGGTGGATCATCTTGATTTAAATATTCTTTCAATGTATCGTACGGAATGCTTCGCGTGAATGGTGGTTCAAATACGATATTTATATCATTCAAATTGATCATTTCCGTATAACTTGTGCAATTAAAGTTTATATCTGGTTTTTTATAAACTCTAAGTTCCATTGGCTCGTCAACATCGGTTCGATAGCGTAGAATTTTCTTGATGGCACAGTCGCGCTTTTCTTTGCTATCATCAAACAACATTGATAACAAGATATTTTCCGAATGCGCATAATATGAATTATCTTTAATTACTTGATTGACAATTTTGCGTAAACGAGGTTCTAGAAATCGTGACCAACCAATGAACTTGAAAAATAATGCACTGCCGTACACGACAGAGCTGTAATACTTGATATTGAAGTACATTGGCACATAACATTTAATTATAAATTCAACCAGAATTCTTAAATTTGCATCTGGATTTTCCGTTGTCACATATAATCGCAATAATCTAGCGGCCTTGGTGAGCCACCGAGAATGTACAATTTTCCCTGGTTTGATGTTAGCCAGATCCACCGGAACCACGCCGCTAGAAATTGCATGGGCCATGTCGTATAAGTACTTCGAATCGGTGGAAAATTCAATTTTTTCAGGAGCAGGGGGCATATTTTGCAACTCAATTTTCTGGAAGCCGTCCACCACCTGAAAATATATAATAATAAAATAATTAAAAATGGTTGACAATTATAATAAATGAGTGATAGCAATAACTTACCGGAAGAGTTTCACAAGTTTCGATTTGACGGCTCAGTTTTCCGGTTGCCGATCTTGGTCCAGTGCTGGTTGATTTATCCAAAGCTTCAAACAAATGCCGAAACGGAAGTTCGTTGAAGTGTAGAAGGCAAACGAACCAATGCAATGGTCTTTTTAACAGCAATTCGAATCGTCGTATAATTCCACCGTGTGGGCCAGTGTTTGTTGGCTCACCGTCAGTGCATATTCCAATTAATGCATCCAGTGATATATTTTTATCGTTGAAAAAACCATTTAATTTGGTTGTTTTGTATTCAGCGGTTTCATGTTCCAGTCTTACGTAACCAATCAATTCAGAATTGGGTTCTCTCAAAATAACAAGATGAGGTTCTTTTACCATCCTAGTATGATACTTCTCATCAATTTTATCTATCGTTAAAGTATCATCTTTTCTGCCATCGAATGAAAACGCTAACAAATTGGTATCATCTAACCGTTTGCGAAGCACTTCTTGTCTGCATTTCTCTTTTTCTCTGCGAACTTTCGATTTATCCATGATGAGAGGTTTCCCATGCTTATCTTTAATTTTAAAATCTTGCAAAAGAGCGGTTCCCAATGCTGATGCTACTCTGTCAGGCACACCAAATCTGTCACATACCAAGGCAAAGTTAAAACAATCGTATCTCTCTGTGTATTGTGAACTTGTGCTTCTATCCATATCTTCTTGAACCGGTGGCGGTGCGTATGTTGAATCATCGGGATCTTGGTATGTTGGCATTGATGACATAGACGTTGCTCCTTGCTCTTCAGTTTCCATCACAAATGCATCCATTGTTAGTCTTCTCTGATTATGTTGATCGTGCATGAACTCTTTGAGGCGTTCGGGAACCCAGCCGCATGCACATGGAGCTGCCTTCAAATCGCATTTACATGTTCCAATGTAAAAAATTGTTTCCAGAGATTTTACATACTCTGTAAATTGTTGGGTGTTGTTTCTTCTCTTGATTTGCTCTTGATACTTGTCAAGCAATTTATTCAATTTATTAAATACACTTTATTTCAGCATTATTTCCATACCAAGTTTTTCCCAAATTCCAATCAACTTATCTTGTACTTGAATAGTGAATGATTTATGGGAAAACTTTTTTTGTTCTGTTTTAGCACGTTCGCTTAAGTAAAAATAATATCTCAAGATATCCAGATGGGTTGGTAAATTAAGATCAGTTAAATCAGTAGACACACCAAAAACAGTAACATCATGCTTGGGTATATGACTCATTGGGTTTTCGATAGTTGTTGATGTAGTTGCTTCATCTTGCGGTGTAGAGGATGGTGGATTCATTGTAAACTTTTTGATTTGGAATGGTCACTTCACTTATTATTTTTTTTGAAATATTTTTTTATCTGAAATTAGCACTTCACACTTTGAGTTCTTCACAACGACTTAATGCATTCACAAAAACTGTTGCGTTATATATGGTCTACGAGACGAGGTAATAAGAATGAAATGGTAATTTCAATTCTACCTGCTGTGTCTTGTGGTGGCTTAAAAAAAACAACACAAGCAATTTTACGATCTGCAATTGTGTCACAGTGATACCTTCATTGTTTAAAAGGGTTGCGGTGCATTCCAGTGATACCTTAATTGTTAAAATGGTTGCAAAAAACGCGCATTTCTTAAGAAGGTGCCTTAAAATACCCACAAAAAGGGTTGTAAAAACAACCTTCATTTCTTAAGTAGGTGCTATAAAAAAACTACACAAGTAAGTTTACGACATGCAGCTGTGTCTTAAAAAACGCACACAAGCAATTTTCCGATTTGCAATTGTGTCACAGTGATACCTTCATTTTTTAAAACGGTTGAATAAAAAACCCACACAACTATGTTTACGACATGCAAATGCATCACAGTGATGCCTTGGTTTTAAAAGGGTTGTAAAAACGCTAATTTCTAATAATTTTTTTTAATTTCTTTTCTATTACTAAGTTAAATTCATTTTTTCATTTACATATGTTCTGACTAAATAAATTTCTAAAGAGAAAAATAAACTCCAAAAAGAAAAAACATAGGCATTTCGCTGATTTTTTCATGTAAAGTGCAAAACCGGCGATTTTTTGAAATGTTTGTATGGTGAACCCCCAGGGGGGTTCCAGGGGGTGTGCCACTGGCATCGGTGGGTCGGGCCTCCAAAGTTAGTGGGGGTCGGTCATACATTTGGACTCGATTGGAGCACTCTAAATGGGTCAAAGTGGGATTTTTCAAAATTTGCCCCTACCCAAAAGTTCGACCCAAATTGGGGGACATCAGAATTCGTTTTAGAGGTATGGTTCCTTCGGCAAAGTTTCTTATTTTGATCCCTAGAATATGATTTTCACAGAGCAATGGGCGATTTTTTTGCCTCCCCACAAATCGACCCGGCCTAATGTACATACATGTGTATGTTATGTTGCATAGCAAGCCAATTAATTCAATTATTTCTTTTCTCTTGTTTTTTTTTTTAACTGCGTGAAATGAACTGATTTTAACAATTAATACATTTATTTGTAATTTTTTATGGAATCGGCATCGGCATCGGCCGATTCTTTCCCCATAAGCCGATTAATCGGCATCGGCATCGGTACCTGAAAAAAAAATTGGAATCGGTCGGACTCTACTCCATATAAAAGAAAATTGTCGCACATACTTTTTTATGGAAAAAACGTGAAACACCTTCAACAAAAAAAAAATCATTTTTGTGAGCTGTCTGCAAATGTTTTTTAATGTTGGCTGTCGCTTCACCTGAACATTTGAAAAGAAATTCCAAAGAATCGGCGAAAAAAGGCCGATGCCGATGCTCAATTTTGTGCCGATACTAGCCGATGCCGATGCCGATTAATCGGTCGGACTCTACTTCGTATTGCTTAGTCACTACTTTAGGGATTTTTCTATAATTTCATAAGTAGAGTGTGTTTATACTATGCAGCCCTAATTCATGCTTGATGAATCAATGCTAAATACCTCAAATAAACGTCTTTTAGAAGAAAAAATTAGTTATATTATTTTATTACACTGTAAATGCACTCAAAACTTCAACATTAGAAAAGTAATTGAATACGAAAATATTTCTTAATACAGAAGGCTATGCAAAATCAATTATTTACAAAGTTATTATTTTTTTGAAGTGGGGAATAAATGTCTCGATATTTCTTCGTCCCAAAGAAGCAACATGGCATTGAGGAAAAATAGGCATTCAAGTTATATAATGGGATGAAATCACTACGGTTTTGCATGTCCCACCAACTTTTAAACTTCGTATTGCTTAGTCACTACTTTAGGGATTTTTCTATAATTTCATAACTAGAGTGTGTTTATACTATGCAGCCCTATTTAATTTCTTTTATTATATTATAAGTGCCTACTTTAGAGATTTTGAAACGTTTTATCGTGCCCCGCCCGTGACAATCACTTATACATTTTTTCTAATGGTGCCTAAAAATAAAAAAAAACAAGTTTAACGTTTCAAACCAATGTTTAATGCCACAAAACTTTGATGTTCAGGTTGACTAAACACCACTTTTGATGGGCTAAGCGATGTAGTAAAAAATCTCGCGTGGCTAACTCGAAAACAAGGTAAACATTACTATCATAGAGACGCCAGAGAATTCTATGATGAGGGTTGCTTAACAAGAATCCAAAAGTCAATACTAACAATTACCTCCAAATTTCCAATCTAGAAAATCTAGAAGTTCGCTTAACTTATAACTAATCAACTATAACTTTTTGTTTTTTATATACTTGCATTTATTTGTTGGATCTGCTCATTTTACATCTATTAAGCCTAACAACAAGTTTAAAAATCTTACGTCTAATTTTACAATAATGTAGCTCAAACCCTGGGGTTGAGCCCTGTTGGTTTAACGGCGCTCAATTAAAGGCTGGTAGATCTCTTCTTCGCAGGCGTGTTATATTTGTTGTGTTGCACAGGCCACTTGCCAGTGGATTTGGGTGGTTACACAGTTTTATTTTGTATTTTTCTCTGCTGTTGTCGATTACAGATTTAACCATCGGTATACCAAGGTCTCTATGTATATTTTCATTGCGGACATACCACGGTGCTCCCGTTAAGGCCCTTAGCGTTTTAGATTGGAATCTTTGGATCCTGTCAATGTTGGTTGCACAGGTCGTACCCCACAGTTGAATACCATACATCCATATAGGCTTAATCACTGTATTATATACAAGTACTTTATAATCTAGTTTCAGTTTTGATTTACTATTTATAAACCAGTTCACGCTAGCTGACTTTAGCTTCATTTGTGTAATCTTGGTTGATATGTGTTTGCGCCAAGTTAGTCTCCTATCCAAGTGTATTCCTAGATATGTCACCTCATTGGCTTGTGGGATATGGACATTATTTAATTTAATTGGGGGGCATACTTGCGTGAAAATGTTGTATGTTTACTCTTCTGTTCGTTGACTTTTATGCGCCAGTTTGCCAGCCATTCTTCTATGCGTAGTAAATGTTCCTCTAGTACTCTTGAAGCTCTGTTGGGACATTTATTACGACTTACTAAGGCGGTATCATCAGCGAAGGTGGATGTGAGTATATTCTTGCTAGTTGGAATATCTGAAGTGTAGATGATATACAGCATAGGCCTGAGTACACTACCTTGAGGAACGCCAGCCGTTAACGACATGTCTTCTGATGTGAAATTAGATACTTTAACAACAAATGTTCTGTTAGTTATGTATGATTCAAATATTTTGTGGAATTCCGGCGGCAACAATTTTTTAATTTTATATATAAGACCGTCGTGCCACACTTTGTCGAATGCTTGTGCCACATCGAGAAAAATTGCATAGCAGTACTCTCTGAGCTCAAATGCCCTTCCGATTTCATTTGTAAATCGATTAACTTGTTCAATTGTACCATGTTTTTCTCGGAAGCCAAATTGGTGTGCTGGTATTAAATTGCGTTCATGGAGAAAGGGAGATATCTTTGATAGGAGTACTTTTTCGAATACTTTGGAAAGACAGGCCAGTAAGCTTATTGGTCTGTATGAGGACGGCTGTGTTGCGTCTTTTCCAGGTTTGGCTATCATGATTATCTTCGACCTTTTCCATGATTTCGGAAAGTAACCGAATTTGAGGATAGCATTGAAAAGGTCAGAAAGAATTGCTAGTGCAACATTCGGTAGCTCTATTACCATTTTCGGAGTTATAAAATCAGCACCCAGCGATTTCTTTGGATTAAGCTGCTTTACTATAGCTTTTACTTCTAAAGAGTTCGTCTTGCTAGGTGTGTATAGCTCATTTGTATTTTTGGTTAGCCGTGGCAGCCTGAAGTTGTTCGTTGGACAGTTTGGCTGAAACACATTCTTTAAATTGTGTGAAAAACACTCGGCTCTCTCCTGCTCACTACGAGCCCAGGTTCCACATTGGTTCCTAATTGGCATTTCTGTAGCCACTGGTGGGGTTGAAGTATTTTAGCGAAAGCTTCTTAATGTACCTTTGCAAGTTGCGATCCTCTGCACGTTTGAGTGCTTGTTTCAGTTTTCTACTGGCAGCTTTATACAGTAGCTGTGAGGTTGGTGAGCGATGGCGCTGCCACTGTCTTCTTAGGCGCCGCTTTTCTGCTACAAGTTTTTGTATTTCGGTATTTGTGACTGATGTATGCTAGGTGGTACTTGGACTTGATTTGGTGTTGCCAGGCCAGCGGCAGTAGTAAAGATTTCTTTGAAATGTTAAACAAGGGAGTCTATATCACGCTCGCAGTTAAGTGAAGCATTTAATTTAAGGTGACTACTGATGTACTTTTTATATTTAAGCCAGTTGGTGTTATTTGAAGTTAGACGAGGCTCAATTTCGATATTTTGGGTATGTTCATATAGTTTTATTAATACAGGGGAGTGATCGGATGATAGTTCAGGTAGATTTTCTGCTGTTATGTTATTTCTGTATATGTTTATTGTAATTGCGAAATCTATTAGGTCTGGTATCTTCTTTATATCGGTAGGCCAGTAAGTAGGTTTACCAGGAGATGTGACCTCTAGTCTATTGTGCCTGTTTATAATGGTATTGTATAGCTGCCGCCCTTTTGGGTTAATAAGGCGTGATCCCCAGTACGTATGCTTTGCGTTGATGTCGCCTCCTGCCAGGAATCTATTACCCAGGCTATCAAAGAAATCTTTAAAGTCATTTTCAGAAATTAAAAATCGCGGTGGGCAATAAATAGCCGATAGATTCAAGTCTCGGTCGCGGCTTCGTAAGCATATGGTAGTTCCTTGCAGACAGGCTGTTGCTTTTGACTCTAGAATATTGTGCTTTAGACGATTTCTAATCAGCACCGCTTTGCCTCCATGAGCTTTACCATCTGGGTGATTTGTGGCATAGAATTTGTATCCAGGTATGGAGAAATTATATTTATTTGTTAAATGTGTCTCGGACAGTAGCATAACATCTATGTTGTATTCAGTGAGAAATTGACTGAGTTCTAATCTACGCTGGTTTACACCGTTAGCATTCCATAAGCAAATTTTCAATTCACTCATTTTTTATTCACTAAAATTTGCAACAATTGGTTTTGAGCCTTTATGAGGTCTTGAATCATATTTTGCATAGTAGACATGAATTGAGTCATACAATGAGTAAGATTCAATATCATTCCTTCTATGCCACAAGTAGGGGGGTTCGGCTGCATTTGCTCAGTATTATTCCTTTGAATATTTGCAAAAGAAACGTTGGGAACTCGCTGCGTATTGGCAAAAAAGGCTCCTGGTGTAGTGGTTGATGGCGTGAGGTGTTGGTATGTATAAGAGCTAGTTGGAGTGGTGGAAGAGCGTACGGCTGTGTTGCGCTGATTCATGCGAGACTTTAAGTCTTTGTATACAGGGCATCCCCTATAATTGGCGGTGTGGTTACCTCCGCAATTACTGCATTTCTTTACTGCCACATCATCTTTGATAGCCTTGCAAGAAGCGGAAGCGTGAAGGTCGCCACAGGCAACACACACTGGGCGCAAGGTGCAGTATGTTCTGGTGTGCCCAAATTCTTGACAATTTGTGCACTGTACGGGACCGTTTCGCTTGTGCGGCTCCTCCACTGTTATTCTTCGGTGTAGAAGGTATCGTAGATTGTAGATTGGGTGCACTGCGTTTATATTCATTGGCTTTGTTTCTGGCTTAAGTTCTACCTTAAACATAGGCTGAGCGATTTTTGCTCTGTTGATAATATTGACAACATTTTTAACAGAAAATCCTGCCTTCTCTAGAGCATGAGCAATATCAGCTATGGGTACACTTGATTCTATACCTTTTATTACTACTTGCAGTCCTTTGCTGATTTGAGCTGGTACGTATAGAAGTTTTTCTTATCTTCATTAAGGTGTTTGGTTACCAACCGGTAATTTTCTTCAGTTAGAATCTGAAGTTTTGTCTCTTTAATATTGCCCTTGGTAACTGATGTTACGTGGAACGTATTGTCTCCAAAAAGCTGAGTTAATTTATTCACGAGCTCACTACAGTTTTGCTCTCGTAAATAAATTGGGGGCAGTTTGGGTTTGGCTTTAGAAACTTCATTCGGCTCTTTGTCACATTCATTGTACAGAATCGCAAACTTATTTCCCAGTAGAGGGTTAATGTCAGTGGTTTTCGCTTTTGCAATTTTTGATGGGTTTGCAATTTTTTGCTGCTGTGGGCTTAATTTTCGTTTGACTTGTATATACCTATCAATACCAGTTTGAGTCAATGTACGGGTTGTTGGATTAAGTAGGTCAACTTGCACTGAGCTGCGCTGCTTGGCTTGGGCTGATGCCGAAATTTCCGTTTGTGCAGGTGTGGGTGAACTGCGTTGTGAAACCGCTGTCATTGCTGAAGTCGTGGTTGTAGTAGTTGTTGTGAGAGCTGCGCTCACCGTTGTTACTGTGCTTGTTGCTAAGCTAGTGCTTTGTTGTTGCGTTAGAACAACTTGGTCTACCAGAGACATTTGCGACTGTGCATGCCAAGGTGTTTGGGGGGAGGGAGAGAACGATTTATCGCGATCAGCATTGTTTGTGGGGGAAACGAACGAAAAGTAAGCATTTCGTCGATCAGCTGAATGCTTTTGGTCAGCTTCTGTTACGGCAAGGTTTATTTCATTGCACTTGGTGCTTGTTTCACTACTATTCGGTAAGCGCGGTGGGGCCGGAGCTGCTTTTCTTTTATTGTATGTTGGCGCATTTATTTGAATTTCTCGCGCCATTGCGAAAATTCTGAAAAAGTAATTTATAATTATAGGCAAATAAGCAGAAAGCTTATTTATGCCTAGTATTGTCTTTTCGCGTTTGTTCTGTTTTTTTTCTTTGCTTTACGTGAATTATTAATAATTTCTCGGCGGAGCGATTAAAAAACACGTCCGCACAGGTTGACAGTGAATCGACAAAAATAAAAATAAAAATTAACTAATAATCAATAATATAATTCAGACAGAAATGTTATGTAAATTCACAGCAGTGTCTTTTCTTTGTCTTACCCGTGACAGAAGAAAGAGCTCAGAATTTTCCCATATATTAGTGAACTAGGTGTAGCTTTATCGAAATGTAGAATTGCTTAGCCCTTTATACTTAAATTTAAGAAAGAAAAACTATTTTTGCTGTACAAATGTCCCACCCGTGACGATGGAATACCCCATTTTTAAAAAAATATTGATTATTAAAAGTTAAACATTCTAAAAATAGAATTATTAACAAAAACCAACAAAACCAACAACCACATGATCAAGTGTAAATTGCAGCGGAATAGCTGCGCTTGATTGTGTTGACTTAACAAATGCAAAAGTTGGAAAAAAGCAACGATAATTTACAAGGCGAACTTAGCACAGTGCGAAGGCAACTGGCTGAGTAGTGGGATCGTCGGTTTGAATCCTACTGAAAGAGTCTGATGAGGAAATGTGGTGATTTCCGAAATAGCTATCACTTCTAAAATTTTTTCAAATTATTATTGCTTTTCCACAATAAGTTTTTCATTAAAAACGGCCTCAAGCTCAATAAAAATTGTTGAATATAATTGTTATGAGGCCATAAAATGACAAAAACAAATAACCCTGCTGAAGTCTAGAAAAAAGAAGTCTGATGAGGAGATGTGGTGATCTCCGAAATAGTGCTATAACTTCTACCGCTTAGACTTTGTTGCTTTTTCAATTTTTCCTAATAAACAATCGTGGTACAAAGCTCAATAAAAAATATTAAAAATAAAATTTTAATAAGCCACAATAACATTGAAAAATACATAGTTTAGGAAGAGCCTGCCTGAAACTATACAAAAAAGCAAATAAGCAAATGGATGTATAGAATTGACAACAACAACCACGCTGTCGAGTTTAAATAGCGGCAAATCAGCTGCACTTGATAGTAGTTGGTTGAATAAGGAAAATGAATTAGCAACAAGAGTTTACGGAATGTACATAGCTCAGTGGTTAACGCTTCTGACTTTGAACATTGATTACGCAGGTTCGTTCCCTGCTGAAGTCTAGAAAAAAGAAGTCTGATGAGGAGATGTGGTGATCTCCGAAATAGTGCTATAACTTCTACCGCTTAGACTTTGTTGCTTTTTCAATTATTCTTAATAAACAATCGTGGTACAAAGCTCAATAAAAAATATTAAAAATAAAATTTTAATAAGCCACAATAACATTGACAAAAACAAATAACTTAAGGACGAGCACACCTAAAAGTTAAACATTATAAAAATAGAATTATTAACAAAAACCAACAACCACAGGATCAAGTGTAAATTTCAGCGGAATAGCTGCGCTTGATTGTGTTGGCTTAACAAATGAAAAAGTGGGAAAAAAAGCAACGATAATTTCCAAGGCGAACTTAGCACAGTGCGTAGGCAACTGGCTGAGTCAGTGGGATCGTCGGTTCGAATCCTACTGAAAGAAGTCTGATACGGAAATGTGGTGATTTCCGAAATAGCTATCACTTCTACCATTTCGTATGCGTATCTCAAAAANGTGCATAGGCAACTGGCTGAGTCAGTGGGATCGTCGGTTCGAATCCTACTGAAAGAAGTCTGATACGGAAATGTGGTGATTTCCGAAATAGCTATCACTTCTACCATTTCGTATGCGTATCTCAAAAACTACTTGACCGATCTCGACCAAATTTGATATACACATTGTACTTGGCCATCATGTTGGAAAAACTAAATAAACAAAATTATATCAATTTTATAATATAAATGTATGCATTTTTATAAATAAGTAATGAACTATATTAAAAGATTTAGTTTTTAAAAATGTTCACTATATTCAAACATTCTTTTGTTCTGATAAGCATAAAAAGAATAACATACATTTTTATTTAAAAAAGGTCGTTATTTCGTTTTTTTAGGTTTTCTCGAAGTGTGTACCTATTATATGTATGGATATACATAGTGAATAAAAGGCATTTGAATTACCTTTCCATCCATATCCACATTTTAAAACTCGGTTCAATAATTTTCGAAAAAATGCTTCTGAAAATATTAAAAGTTTCACTTTTGCCGCCCCTTTTAATTTGCAGCAAAAAAAAATTTTACCATCATGCCGCCAGTGGGCATTTACCATGTGACCACTTTTTCTTTTTTCCTAGCTCATTGGGCCCTATTTTTTACTTGTTTAAAAATCAAAGATATTTTTACTGACATTTTTCTGAATATTCTCTTTTTGTGCCATAGCGATGATAAAAATTAATTTCAACTTCTAAAAAAACATTGTTCGCTTATTTGCCCGCCCAAATATATATCACAGTTCAATTTAGATTGAAAAGTGTGCTCGAAAAAAATCTAAGGGCCGATTGTTCAAAGTCCGGTTAGCAGAAGTCGGAGGTAGAAGCTCCCGTTAAGCACAACGACTGCTTTATCGAACACATGTTACATGCATGATGGCGAATACGTCGATAGTGTTGTCGAAGTGATAATCAGACATTGAACAACCGGCCCTAAATTATTCCTATTCACTGCATTACCGGCACTTTCCAGTGCTTTATGATGTGGGTTCTGCGCAAAAATATTGTGGATGGCGTAGCCGGCATTATATGCACTAGAAATGTTGTATACCTTTGACAATAGAAGGGGGCTTCTCCGCTCCACACCACAAAATCATTGTACAAGAAACTAAACATTTCCCTATTTGATGATTCCCTCATCTTTATTAAAAAAAATACCAAAGTTATGCAGATATAGGGCTGTTTATCCACAAAAAAACTAAGAAACGCTTTCCAGCAGCAGATTCTAGTGATAGAGCCGTATGCATAAAAACTAAGCAATTACTTTTTCTTAAAATTGCGTACCTTTCACATCAATTTGCTTGAATAAATTGAGTAAAATATAAGAAGCATTTTCTTAGGTTTTATGAATACGGTCCAATTTGTGATAATTATCTGTAAAGAAACAAAGCTGCAGTGTATATTTTAAGTGTTTAATGGCAACACCATTCACAGCTGACACATTTTGATTTTGAATTAATCTGCAGCAAAACAAAATATAAAATATATATTTATATTGATATTTATTGTATTTCAGAATGTTTTACGACGAAAACCTGATTGAGCTAGTCATGGACAACGAAGTAATTTACAACAAGTTCTGTCCGGGCTACCGCTTGCCAGATAAAAAACGGGCGGCTGTTGCCCATTTCAAAAGTTTTGGGAGCAACAGGTTTGTGTTTATATCACAAGTAATTGTTCATAAAACTTATGTACTTAGGTTTTTTTAAATACTAACGTAGAGGGGAAATGTAAAAAGTGTTGGACTACATTGAAAGAGCGGTTTTACAAAGAATACAAAAGGCTAAACGCACCATCAGGAAGTGCAGCGGGGCATGTGGAAACGTGGGCATTGTTCGGCCAGCTAAGCTTTTTAAAGGAGCATAACCGGGTTATTTAAAATATGCAATAAATTAGTATTCATATAATCGAAATTTTCAGAGCTCGCTGCACTTTCAATGTTTTGGAAGAATCCCAGTCGTGGTCGACGTCCCCAGTGCCATATCCTAATAACAGCTTCGGTAATTATCTAGGTGGGCTTTCAACCCCCAAAATTTTGGAAAGGGGGTACTATTAGACGCGTCTGGCCCCCAGTAACAAGAATCCGAAAGCAGAAATTAACTTCTTTTACCTGATCAAAAGTTATTAACAAAAAACTTTTCCACTATAGCACTTTTTTTATTCACTTACTACACTCACACAAAAGCACAAAATGCCCATATTTCACTATACATACAACAACAATACTTCATTTTAGTCATATATGTCAAAATATCGCTAAATATATCACTAAAAACTTATATATTTTATTAATTAAAATGTAAACAATTGTGGTGTGCTCAACGATGTGCGGTATTGCCACTCAATCTGCATGGAATAAATATTGAATATGTTTACACGGAGTACAGACTGTTATGTGGGATAATTAATTGTGGAAATAACTAAACAGTTAAAAATTCTCAATATATATCGATATCGATAGGATATCGCTCGATTTTTTATTACAAATTTTCGCCTGAGGCGCTTTTTTCAATAAAAATCGATACTTCGATATTTAATGAAAATTAGTAATAAAAAATCGCGCGATATCCTATAGAATTCCAAATTCTGCATTGCATTATAAACCACATTCTTAAAGGCACGCGGAAATAGTTGGTAGGTGTAGACGTTGGGTAATTGTATTAATTCGAACATCAGCAGGTGAATTTTGCGTTGAGCACGCCAAAATTGTTTAAATTTTAATAAATAAAGTATATAAGTTTTTAGTGATATATTAAGCGATATTTTGACATATGAGGCTAAAATGAAGTATTGTTGTTGTATGTATGGTGAAATATGGCGATTTGTGCGTTTGTGTTTGTGGATTAAGTGAATAAAAAAGGTGCTATTGTGAAAAAGTTTTTGAAGTGAAACTTCTTAGGCGGCGGTATCTCAAAAATGGAGAGTGAAATTTTTAAAACAGAAAACATTACATGAGTGAGAAGGAAGATATGGGTAGTATAGGGAAGGGGAAAAAAGAAGTAAAGCGACGCATGACGGCTACGAGTACCTACATATGTATATATGTATGCTTTAATGCACGTATGTATGTATACATATATGTACNAACTTCTTAGGCGGCGGTATCTCAAAAATGGAGAGTGAAATTTTTAAAACAGAAAACANCAGTGTGACGTCACACAAAAGTTATTCTCAAAAATCCTCTCTGATCGGCGCAATCTTGTATTCTATCATT